ATTTAGATTTAGAGTCACTTCAAAACTACCATTTTGTAGAATCCAGGAAAGCACTTGGAGTGTATTTCAACAGTTTTTAAAAGTCCCTGCAAGCTGGGTCATGATTCTATTGACGGACTAACAGTTCCTTCATATTTACTCTCTCATGTTATTCCAAAATGAACAATGACGAGTCTGGATGTGAAAACTCATGTAAAGTGTGCTTTGGAAAAAGGTTTTGTCATTGTCAGTGAACAATAACTCTCCAGCAATTAGGCTATTCCATAATCACATCATATTTCCCCGCAGCTGCTCTGGTTTTGTCTGTTTGAATTGGAGGCCAATAAGGCATGGACATATTCCTGTTCTTCACCACACGGTTTAGAGTTTCCTGGTCTAGATTGATGCAGAGTATAGTAATATGTCCACCCTCGAGGTAGTATATTGCTTGGGAGATTGGAAAGATGTGCACTTCAAAGCTTTGCTGAATGAGTGACAGAGCTCTTCCGTGGGGACCCTGACTTATTGGCATTGAAATACTGTACACCAGATGTTCTACTTCCCTCAACCGTTTCCTCAGACTAATGTTCAACTGTCAGTCGCTTCATCTGTCCAGTGGACAAATGGATGGTGATAGTCCCTTCGTGTGTGTGTAAATGCAGAAGCTCGTTTATGACGAGAAAAGGCAAATTGAACATTTGGAGAAAATGCACTAAGACTAGCAATTGTACAATACTCCCACCAACATCTCTGATGTGTCATTATCATGTCTATTTCAGTAATATGAGTTTATCTTCTACTGTTCTCATACCGATGTGCAGCACTGTCAGCTGCGACTAAATGTGTCTCAGTGAAAGCTTCAATGTGAGTGTTTTGTTTGAAGGGAGTGTATTGTTCGTTTTGTCCCCCTGCCCCTCAGTTGGTAAACTTGATGCACCAACACTTGTCACACGTCTCGATGGGCTGTCTCTCACGAAACGGCTTATAAGCAGCTTCCATAAAGCCCTCACAGGTTTTCCAAGAAGCACACAGGGAATGCCGCCATTTGCATTTAAAAAACGTCGACACAGAGCTTCACCTTGTGTTTGTCAGTTTTCTGGCGCTCATGAAATATTCATTCTGTCATCACAAAGAAATATTTGGACATTATTTTGAATCGAGAACTATATTTATATGATCGTGGTTGTGACAGTTTGCTATGTCGAGAACATGTCAATAGCATATCGGATCATTGAAGGTACCCGGTGTAGTTTACTTGTTTCTCAGTGAAACATAATGTTCGTCCTCGTGCACACGAAGTACAAATAATGACCATAAACAGCACAAATTTTTTGATCACGATCATTATCCACAAGTTAAATTACCCTTATCATGTTCAGTCTACAGTATGAAGTATAATTTGATAAAACAAAATTGCGTAATTACCAATAATTGTTTATATTCTTACCTAATAATTATGTACAGCTTTAATTCTGCAGTCATTTTATTTTATTATGTTTACACTACCTCATAATAAAAGAAGTAAGAAATGTACTAAAACATGTGAAACCAGTGGTTTGGCCCTTTAAGGCAAAACCTGTTTGTGAGGAAAGGTTGCCTGATAACAAACTGTCCAGTTACAAGCTTTGGCCCTTGTTTTTTTGTTTTTCTTTGTTTTTTAAAGTGACATTCCAAACTCACCTCCAGCTCAAGACTTTCATGCCAAAAATAATGTCAAAAAAGCTTTGGGTTGCAGCTTCAAACAGCCTTCGCCGTGCACAATGTAAGAAGTGCTTTTCCTGCAGCACCTCTGACAGTGTCCTAGCTGACCGCCGCGGTACATGGTTGTTGTTGTTGGCCATTAATTAGTGTAAAGCCCACCGCCTCCCCGTACCATCTTTCAGCGTGTCACAGTTGTTTATTTAGCACAACAGGAACAATTAGGCAGCTGACATGGCAGCCGCCACTTGAAGTCCGTCGGACTACCTCCCCTGACTTAACACACAACTTAGCAGACACATTGCAGCACCCTGCTGCTGCCTTGTAACCTTCAGAGGATGCCTTGAAACGCATTCTCCAGTATGTTAGCGTATTATCATAACCAGATGCCCACCTTACCGCCCACCTCGGCACATGTTTGAAAAATGAGGCTCGGTCTTGAATATTAAAGATGGCGAGGTTCATTTATTTAGGGCTGTGTTCGGGCCACCAAGGGATGCTCATTTGAATCTCGTTTGTAAAGCTGTCTATCCTTATCTGTCAGCATCAGAGGATGCAATTTCTCTCTTCCCACCTCATCCTCCTTGTCTACTAAATGGCAGGGATATTTAGAGGTGCTTGACAACTGAGGCATGCAAATTAGCAGTTGATGTTTCCTGCATTTTAGTTTTGTTTTTTTTCCTTTCTTTTTTAGTTTCTTTCACTTCTCACCCCCCCCTACCGCCCCTGAGTCGGTCCTTTTAGCCTCTGTGAGAAGATGTTATTTGTGATGCTATTTTTGTAGCTATGTAGGAGGAGAGTGTTAGGGGGGATTACAAAGACTTTATCCATAAGTTTTCTCTTAACCTCAATTGCAAGCTTGGCAGTGTTTATATGATCTGGTTTAACGTTGGCAGTCCACAATTACATTTATGTAACCCTTTATCTCAAAATGAATGAAAAGTAATTCACGAGAACACCCAACTCCATTTGTACATCGTAGCCTCATATTGAACCACCTGTTTGTAATAGCTGTAATATCTATGAGGTGGAATGCTGGTACAATGTAGTGCTTTTCCAAATTAACACTGATAAAAAGCAGTGGAGGGAAAGCAGTGAATGTATTTACCTTTTACTGACTGGGTCACAGATTACACAATATCAGGCTGGAAATGTTTCAATCTGGCATGCGTGTTGCCTCGCACGGCAGCTGGGTTGCTGCTCTATCATGTGAGAATCGCGGGATCACAAATCACACGAAAATCCATCTTGTCAAGCTGGAAGTGATGCGCTCGTGCCTGAACCAACGCCGGTCGCGTAGATGCTGCAATAGCATCAGTCATATCAGAACTGGGAGAGTATTTTTTCATTGAAAGAAGAGTAAAAAAACATCACTAAAGGCTTTTCTAGATGCAAGAGACGATTTCGCTCTTCTTCGATCATATGGTTCGTGGATCTGATGGGTTGAATGTAACCCATTATTAACGGTGACCGACAGATGGTTCATCCAATCACATGCCAAGAATTTTGTGGAAACAGTTTTCCAATGACGTCTTCTTGCATGGTTCTGTGTAACAAACCATCTGACGCATCAGGTTAGCATACGTGGGGTGTCAGAAACAAATGTGTCATTTTATCTTATATAATGTGTCAGAGTGGAAAACAAGCCAAGCTGTGTCCGGGACGCCTCACGAGGCCCTAATGGTTATCTTTTATTCTGCCTCCTTTTGGCTACGGTAGTTTGATAACATCTACGACAAGCTTGCTGACAGACCTAATCCTTTGGACATCATGAAAAAGCCAAGCAGGTGCTCAGTTTAATTGCTTCCCCTTTTAGTCTGACGTGTGTCTCGGCGGACACGGAAAGACCACGGAAAATCACAAATGTCTCGTAGTCCAATCTTGGCAAGTTGTAGGAGTTTGTTCAATACAAGGCTAGTTAAAAGTAATATAAGTTAATGTGTTAATATGTATTCTATAAGTGATTCTGTGTTTCTAATTGTCTGCTCTGTCAGTCGGATGTCATTTTGGTGCTGCGTGTGTTTCTTTTAATAAGATGTGGACAAGCTGCTGGACAGGACAGTCTTATTAGTACACCTGCAGAGTGTTCTCCTGCATGACCACCTGCACCTTTTTCCAGTATTGTTGTCTAATGTGTTCTACAGTATTGTTTCTGTTACTGAGTAGCAGAAACATTTCAAATACACTCACTTGGTATCCAAAATTGCTGATTTGACGTTTCACTTTGACTGCCTGCTTGTGTTTCGCCATGGTGCCATGTGTCTGTGTGCATGTGTGCTGCATCTCAGTATGAAATATATTGCGCTGGGGACTGATAACTAGCAGCCACCGCTGGCAACCTGCCAGGTGTTTGTTTTGTTGCAATCATTTAAAATAAACCAAAGCCACTCAAGGCTTGCCATCAATGGCAACAATGGATGCAACGCCAAAGCAAAGTCTGAGATGTTATTACTGTAGTTTTTCAAATCAAAGTAGCACAGAGCTAGAAAGAATCCATTTTTCATTCTACAGGTAGAGATACTGTTTGTGAAACAATGAAGTGTAGCAATCTGAGTTGCAGCTGATGACCGACGAAGGCCGTGAACGATTTTTCTCAGCCCACAGGCCTGTTGACCTTCTCTGGTCACTCGGTTCTCTTTATTTCCCGTGGTCATGCATTAAAGGGTTTTGGTCCACCACTTGCTGCAGGTTACCAAAGCCAATTAAATGGTATAATAAACCAAAACACTTACTAAAGAAAGGAGAACATAAGGCACATCTATACAACAAACTGTTCTAGAGCATTGTCTGCAGTGCTTGTGTTCTATTGTTGCATAGTAGCACATGACGGCATTTCTTATTTTTAATCATTTTTAATGTCCAGCTCAGGTAAAAATAGATAGACTATAGGCCTTCCTCACAGCATAGATTTTGACTTGGGTGTTACTGATAACACTAACTATAGCTCTGTTCATTTCAACTGTTGAAATTGAACATGAGCCAACATGCAGATACCAGGAACCTGCAAGCAAAGCAGCTAAATGGAATTCGGCAACAATTCATTTCATTACTTACACCTGTGCTTTTCCCTACTGTGACAAGTCAAAATGTCTTAAGGTCTGTCCTTACTCGGTAGGTTTTCACTCCGCTTTCCTTTAATCCCATGTGTGCTAATCATTTCTGTTCACGCCTCCCTCCTGGTTGCCATTAACACACCTGAAAGTCATTGTAATGATGTGCGTTGTGGGAATTTAAACCCTTAAAAGGACTTGTCCTTTTAAGGGTTTCTCTAACTTTTTTTGCATTTGTCGATACACCTGTGTTCCTGTCTTTTTCTTTTCCAGATGGGTTTCAGAACCTGGTGACAGACAACGTGTCGGTGGTGGAGGGCGAGATGGCCATCATCAGCTGTCGAGTGAAGAACAATGACGAGTCCGTTATCCAGCTGCTCAACCCCAACAGGCAGACGATTTACTTCAGAAACATGAGACGTGAGTGTTATGCAATCTTTACTTAAGGGCTGTTGTTGTGTACTGTTGTTGGGGAACAATCATCTTGTTTTGACCGGATGAAAACAGCCATTAATGTGCATGTTTCATTCAAAGCCGTCACTAATGCAGCCAATTTCAATTTTAATTATTTCCTCCTTCATGTTGCAACTGAGAGACTGGAACAAAATGAGATACCAACATGAACAGGCTGATGGGACTATTGCTGTTATGCTGTTTCCCATGCGTGGTTTTGATTCATGGTCAGTTTGTTCAGAACACAAGGTCAGGGTTCAAAATGCAACGTAAATACTGTATATATGTAGGCAGTTAAGGCTTAATTAGCTATCTGGTGTGGTCCACAAACGCAGGTGACGTCCCCTTGACTACTTCGCTTCTTTTATACAGTCGATGCTACCTATGCTAGTCTCCTCAGCAAACCTTGCCATCACAATGTTAACATCAGAGCGAGATTTGATAAACGGGTCAGACTACACTGTCCCAGGAGGGGATCCTCCCACACCAAGGGGCCACCCCAGAGCCGCCGAGTTGAATCCCTCAGTCTGACTGCTGTTGAGAAGTGTAAAAAAATGTTGGTTCATTACAGAAGTGTGACGGGCCATTGTGAAACTAAGAGAAACACTGCCTCGGACGAAGTCAGACAAAATCACCTGTTTACCATTTTGTAGATTCGATGGAGTTACGAGATTTAGTCCCAGGTTCTTTTTTAATACTTTTAATTTGTTAAATTTCCCTCGTATATGACAATATATGGCAAAAAGATAACAGTTGCAGTCTTAAAAGACTTAACATTGCCTATAAAGTATGCCCAGGTTTCACTAAACATTCCAGATTATCCTCCTGCACTTGATATACAGTACAGTTGTATCGGTTTAGGAAAACATCATAGATCATCTAAGGGGTTATTATGAGGCTGTCAGAGGATAAAGTAGGCTGTAACGGGTAGTAGACACTGTCCGCTGCAAGTGAGAAATCATTCCGCGCTGCCATGTCTTTATGTGATTGATATGGAATGTGTTTAATTATAGTCTGAAGCAGTTTGATGTGATCAGATGACATGGAAATCAATCCCAGTGAGGCATTTATTTATGTCAGTTCCACTGGTTCATTTTGCAGGCAGTCATAAAATTAGACATTTGACACATCATTTGCATTTGGTAAAAATTTCGTCAAGCCGCAGTTTGACGACAAATCTCATGAATTAGGAAAAACATGATAAACTGTGTAGTTTAACCAAATCATGTGAATGGAGCCGGCAGTAAAGCTGTAAAACATTGATTAATATTCTCTTACATTACTTGCACTTCTTCCAGGGAGCTACATTAAGTTTGACCCACATGTCTGCTGTAGGATTAATACAGAATGAGGTTAATATAATCTACCAAACATGGTTCGCTTTCAGCATGTCTGCTTTAATAAAAGCAGCTCATATCCCTAAACATTTAATGACCTGTTGTGTTTATTCTTATCCTGCCCAATTATAATGTCACAGCTCTAATTAGCTGTATTCAGTTGGACACTCTGTGCCCTGTCTGGCCAGCTTTCGGGTTTTTTAATTATGTTTTTTGAGCCCCTGAGTTTAGAATGTTGAGTATAAAATATAGTCGACCTCTGTAACTATATACCAGTAGTATTATGTTGTAAGTTCAAAATGTACAAAGATCAGCCCCGATGATTAATTATTGGCTTTTACAGTAATGGATTTCATAGTGCTCTGAGCAGGTTGTATCCCAGCACTGTTCATATACAAGTAATTAGCATTAGCAAATACGGTTTTGATATAACAAGGTCCTGTTTATAGTACATTTTTTGTATACGTTGACTTGTTTATTGAGCTAAGACTTCAGCTGTGTGCACAAATGTAACGTACATAGAATCATGACATAGTTCTTTCAACATTTGGATCCATAAGAGACTTCCTGGCCCCCTGTGAGCCAGGTGTCAGGCCCTCCTGCACACTCACCACCCCTCCTTAGTCATGTTCACTGCCTAACAAACACACCCTCTACATATTATACAAGGGCACACTCGCAAAAAGGCTTCGTGCGTATGCTAAACCAAGCTCTGTATTTATCCGCTGTTGTGCAGAGCCGCAGTGAGCCGACTCCCACAAGCTGGCTGTCAAGGGCAAGGTGTTTTTTCTTTGATGGGGGGGCTCCTTGATCTCCTGTGATCCCTCCCAGGCATCTTCGCCGCAGCTGCACTGCTTCATTATGACATGGCATCCACCAGGCAGCCTCCAAACAACATGGCCCCTTTCAAAATATCACATCTGCCATCTCCGTCTGAATCCACAGTGGTGGATTATATTTGTGAGATGGAGAGCAAGAGAGGGTAAAGAGACAGAAAGGAATGAGTGCTTTGAAACCGGCTGCAGGTACATTCACAGAATAAACCTTAATATTGGTCACCATACTGTTACACTTCATATCCACTCAGAGTGGTCCGGATTTTACCCCCGTTGCGTAAAAAGCCTTAAGAGAGTATTTATACAGAGTGGTAGTGCTACCTTTACTTTAGTAAAAGATCTGAGTACTTCTTCCACTACTACAAAAAAAGTATGAGAACAGTGGGTCACATTGTTCAACTCACACGAAGCAGCAGCAGCTAACTTCTGTGACAAGAAAAACGAATGATGCTTTTAATATGTATTGTTGTTATCACTATTTTTAGTAACCAGAGTATGCAGAGATGGTGACGTTTCCAAGACACAATGACCTGTTCAACATGTGAAGACTGTTGCTAGAGGTAGTAAACACCCAGCTGGAATGTTGCAGCTCTAACTGCCATATGTTTTTATTTTTTTTCTTTCCCAATGTAAGACACAATCCTTCAACAGCTAATGTTATGTCCCTGAGATGACCTATTTTAGTTCATTTGCATGGCTTTCATTATTAAATTCAACACTATAAGCAAGGAGCGCTGTGACACAACACACTTTCTAAATGATCACAAATTTGACCAAATCTCCACCACGTCTTCAGCTAACCAACCAGCATCACTCCTCTAACACTTACTTCACATATGCGTAACTGTTGTGGCTTTGTAGCATGAATAAGGTTGATGAACACAGATGCATATAGTAATACTGCAGCATTTAGAGACTGCTAACAAATCTAATTTATATTTACTAAATACACATGCGGAAACCTCTGACCTCACTCAACAAAGCAAAATATATTTTTCTTGAAATACATGGTTGCTTGTATAATAAAAGACTACTAGGAGCACTTGAGCAGTGACACACAAACACTGGCCTTGTTCTCCTGTGGAGGAGGGAAAGATCGCAGCTTCTGTAGCAGTGGGTGATCTGTCCACAGAAGGCCAGCAAGGATCAGGGTGAAAGGCTTTGTGTGAAAACAACTTAATAAGGCAGCTTGGAAGGAAAAAGTGTGTATTATACAGTATAACATATTTCTACATGAAGGACACGATGGGACCCACAGAAGCAAAGAGACTGAATGATTATTATTTTAATGAATAGATTTAATAGCAATTGAGCTAACTGTGATTAATGACATTACTTAAATATATATATCTAAATATTTAAGTTTATATATATATATAATATATATATATATCCTGATGGGTACAAAGACTGCCCCATTGAAAATGAATAGTGATTGAAGTGCCGTGGTGGTTTTGTTACACAATCAGGATATGCATGTTGAATCAGTAATAGGCAGCAGTTTCTCACTGTGTATCCTTGACAATCAAATACGGTGTTCTACATCCACGCCAAGTGAAAAGTACCACACATTGGCCTTAATGTCATGTCATCACTCATACCAATTGCATGTTGCTCTTTCCGGTTTGGCGACCACAAATTCTAACAAGAAGTAACAGTTGGGTCATCTTCACGCTTGAAAGGTTTCTGGTATGTTAATGTCAAGTGGAAACAGCAGGAGGGAGTCCAACCGGAACAAGATGGCTGAGATAGTCTTTCAACTCACTCTTGGCTTTCGAGTGTTTCAAGTAGCTCTGCTGGTTGTGCGTCTGTCTTTAAATATGAGAACACTTTTGTGGGATTTATGGCTGGGTTAAAAGGATAGTTCTGGTGTTTTGAAGTGGTGTATAAGTACCTGGGTCGCGTTTCTGGTCACCCGAAAAAGTGTTCTGTGGGATAGAATTACAGTTTTATTCAATCGAATCTTGTGCCTTTGGCGAAAGCATAGACAAAGGCTTTAGTTCTCTGCTTGAAATAGCTTTCTCATGGAAAGGTAAACCAGCAATTTATTTTGTAAACATAGCTAAGGTTAATCTGATATCGATTTTTTTTTTTTTTTAGGTGGGCCTTTCTTTTGGGTGGCTGAGATACAATTAACGGTTGTGCAACATGTTTTTGTCCATGTGAGGAGTCAGAGTGGAAAGTCTGACATTTAAGTTGGCCATTTTGAATGGCATTGCGTTTCATGTGAACACAAGAGATTGTATACTTGAAGATTGTGCCAAATGTAAAAGCATTGCGTGTAGCCTTTTGAAAAAAAAGTGTGGTTTAGAACTGCAATCTGAATCTGAAGCAGGACATTTGCTTGTGTTTCAGCAGAATTGGCTCAGGGATTTGGTGCAAAATCACTGTTGTGGGCATTGTGTCTCAAGTACCAGTATTAGTGTGTAAACAATTGAGAAACACTGTGATGGGATGCATCTCAAGGATCTAAAACTGAACTAAATGGAGCTGATTTAAATATACACAATATCAACATAATGCTTCAGCAATATTTTAATGAAAATGACAATACAGAAGTGCAGAAGGACTGATTAAATAAAAAAGATGACGTGACTGATGTGAGACAGAAAATAACTCAAACAATGGAAATTACTAAAAGGAGCATAAGAACAGGGAGTACTCTGATTACAGTCAGCTGTGCCAAAGAGAGAAAAGCCCCTGAGTCTTAACTGCTGAAGCAATGCTAAATGTCCCCATACTTTGGGTTTAGGTGGTGACTACACAGTGATTTGGAAGCCTGGACTTCACCTAG